CAACTCCCAGAGACATCTCTGGGCAGGTCACAACTCAGGAACTTCTGCTAGAGTAGAAACATCTGTGTTACAGGAGCTCTGCCTTCTCCAGAACACACAGATTTGTCTCCCCCATGGAATCACTGTAGTGATCTGTCTCGATGCAGTCTTAAGTCATTTTAATTAGAGCAAGTTCATGAGTAACTTTGGTGTTTCTCTGTTCACCTGGCAGTGCTGATTGACAAAGACCAGTCCCCCAAATGGAAGCCAGCTGCTCTAGAAGAAGTCAGCGATGAATTTGTGGACAATTGTTTTAAACCACTGGGAAACGATGATCTCAAGCTGTAAAGATCAAACCTCTTGACATCTATCTGCTTAGTTCTGTGATACAAAAATTAACTGCAGTGTGATCAGTTTGGACAAGACTTTTTTAGCTAGCCTGAGATTCACAAGTCTATTTTTCTTCATCTTTTTTTTTTTTTTTTGCATTCAGGAACATTCTTTGTAATGAGAAAATAATTGTATCTCTGGTTAATAATGGGAAAAATTACTTCAAGGCAAATTGTTATTTTTACAGCTTTAGACAGTGATTAACATTTAATTTTTTGCATCACCTCTTAGTTTAGGAGGAGCCCTTGGGCAAAAGAGCACAGTTTAAGGGGTGACCTAATAAGCAAAAAGTTAAGAGACCTTTTGTGTTCTTGGCTCTGTCACTGATCTGGTAAATTGGGATTGTGCCACAGATTCTTCTGCGTACCATGAAAATAAAATATGGTTAAACCTTTAATGCAGTCAGAGCTACAAAGGAAAATGGAAGACAGAATCCATGGTGTTAAATATCCTTTTAAATAAAAGCTCAGACTGATACATTATTAGTCTGAGAACAAAAAATTGTTCTATTGATTAAACACTTGTAATTTTTCAGCCTTGCTGTGTGATGTAAACATTGTTTCAAATGTGATAATCTTGCCAGAGCCTGAAGCACACTTCACTTCGCTTGCATAGCCCGCTTTTTAAAATGTCATTATGTCTGATTCAACTGCATAATCAGTATTTCACGATTTCAGAAAATTGCTGGTTTTTCTTGGTCTTACAATGGTGAAGAAACAAGTGCCTCAAACCTTGCTGTGAACACCAAGCAGCAATCTCCAGTGCATTCAAGGTGGTGGGGTTCGGATGCTGATAAGACATGAAGTTACACAACATAACCAGAACCCCTTGATACAAGTATTTGTGGGAGGGAGAATTATTTTTTCTTTTGTATACAGACAGCTACTAATCTTTCTTCAACATTACACCTTCTTTTTTATGCTTCATCAGAGCACGTAGCAGTGTTTCTTTCTGCTTGCTTCTACACTTACAGGCAGGTCACAAGTACAAATTTTGGCTTCTCTGAAGAACAAAGGAAGAAAACTATTGTTCAAATGCCATAGTCAGCAGTGGGGGATGAAAAAGTCAGAGCTACAGCAGAACCATGGTGGAGTTTTCAATGTTGGGCAGTTTTTTTATGACGAACATCAATGGTCTGCAATGGCTTAAGGCTCCTTCCTTCTAGGAGCTGTTGCCTGGAAACTAAGTCCAGGAAATTCAGGCATCAAGGTGAACTTCCAAGAGTGACTTTCAAAAAATCAGAGGTGAGCAAATGGAGAGCTAAATCAAGAAAAAATGGCACCTTGCTGTGGCACTAGAGTCTTGTAAGATAAAATTGTTAAAATTTCAGCTGCAAGTTTATGTTACTGTGGACATACTTGTTATGGGACTGTCCTTGAGTTTAGTTCCAAAAGTAATTGAGATTTCATTAAAACCTCTAGGTAAGTCTGAAAGTGTCACAAGACTTTCTACCTCAAGCTGGTCCCATAAGCAGTGCTGCCCCTGTATTATTTAATATTTTTATATGTTTTACGTTCATAAACAATTGCTATTTTAAAATAATTTTTTCAATATTTGTTATCTTAATAATTCCATTATTTTTAATTATTATTCCATAATTCCATTATTTATAAAAGGAGCAATCTTCAGCCAACTATATTAAACAAAAAACAATAATTCCCAGGGAGTAGGGATCATGGCTTCTCTGATTGTACAAGATCTTAGGAAGAGCATACTTTTGAATGAATAAACTTTGACTTGCATGTTCAGTTGCTTCCAGAATTTATGTGAACAAGAATTATCCCAAGCTCAAGGTAACAAGATCCTGTCCAATCTTCGCAATCTTGTGTTTTTTTCAAATAAAAGGCATACAAGCAGATGGTAATTTGAATTTTATTTGGTCCACAAGAAAATATTTTCCACAAAAAATATTGTAAAAATATATTGTAGTGTGTTTTATTTGGGAATACTGATGTGCCTTAGTCCAGAAACGTCAACTGTACAAAGTTGTGCTGCAGTTAATGTATTTTGAACCATTATTAGAATATCAAGTCAGTCACATCATACCCACTCAGATTAATCTTGTTTCCTGGAGAAAATATAAAGCAAATGTATTTTTAACTCCTAAATAGAAGTAAACAGTTTTGCAGAGTATGCCAGTCCCAAACTGGAGTGCCTTTATTACACAAAATGAAGTCAAAGAATCAAAGGTAACTTAGCTGGAAACCCACTGTCAGTGACTCTAAAACTCTAGCACAGCTTAGCATAAATTTGTTTTGGTGAAGAAGTCTTTATTTTTACAATGTATTAGTATTGTGCCTATTAAATGTACATACAGCAGAGCTCTGGGGAGTTATCTCCCTCCATCTCTTACCAGACTGTAGCACTGAACAGATTTATTTTCTATTAAGGGTAAGTGCATTATTTATAAGGACAGCATCCTGTAAAAGAGATGATTTTCCTGGTGAGAAGCCGTCTCCCTGTTGTTTGCTTTCCATTTGCTGCTGTGCCTTCCCTGAAGTGCCAGTGTCATGGAAAGCATCCTAAAGCAGTTGGAATTGCACTTGGGGCCACTCTGGAGCTGCTGGAATCTTCAGGCACCAGGGAGTGCCAAGGTTGGTGGCTGCAGGTGGGGGACTGGCTGGGCCACCAAGCAGCTGGTGCTGAGTCAGCCTGGGGGCAGCTGTGGGGCAGGCAGGGCAGCCACCCCCACAGGGCAGCCACCCCCACAGGGCAGCCACCCCACAGGGGCACGTTCAGGGTGCCTGGGTGACCCCTGCTCTGGGAAATGCCGAGTGCTGATCACAGGGGATGCTCTGGTGGAACCTCAGCTGTGCTATAACTCTGCCTGCTCTCAAAAGGGCATCTGATATTCCTGAAGAGTGTCAGGTGCTAAGGCCACATCCAGAGGAAAGGTTTGAGACGTGGCAGCAGGAAGCACTGCAGCACCTCACTGCCTGTAAGTGCCTTGTACAAGGGCCAGGGCAGATCCACCTCAAGGTGCTCTGACAGCCACTGCAGTTTTCTACTCGCTCCTCACCTGCCTGGCCAACAATGGCTGAGCAGCTTTGGCTTTTTAATTACTGTGGTTAGCAGTGTTCAGATTCTCAAGCCCACACTCATGTTAGAAAGGTTGGCCCTTTTATTTTCTTTTTTGTATTAAAGCTTTATTTTAGCTAGAATAAGAATATTAATATTTTTTAATACTGAGGTTAAGCAATATCCAATTGATATGTACTTGATCAGTGTTTTGGCTTTGCTTTCTAACTCACACTAATATATGGAGGTATTTTAAAGCAAACAGAGTATGATCAAATATGTGCTGTAGAACTTGAAGGAACATCACTTATCAGGAGAATTTAAGTGAACCATAAAACCTTGGTCCCACTTTGCAAATGGCTTTGAAGACAACTACGTAACTTCAAAGAGGACGACGTTAACAGCATAAGCTGATTTTGTTCTCCTTTCCAGCAAAAGCCTGAAACAGCCTTAATGGCAGGTCACTGGGAATCCAGTCTGGTCACTGGGATTTAATGGCAGCCTTGTGCTGTGTCATAGAGAAGCATTTTTCACCCTCCATTCCTGATAAAACCACTTCCCCATATAGGTAAATTTCAAATACCTAAGTTTGTGTCACAACATTTGCAAAACAGCTCAATTCATAGACTGTCTTTCTACAGCATTTGACTTGGTCCTCTTTCTGCTTGCTTCCCATTGCTTGAAAAATCATGCTTTGGATCATTTACTAGAACTATGTGTACCTTTTAAAAATAGTAACAGCTTTAGCCAGTATGGAAAGCATTTCTCTATAAAATGAAAACAAAATGGAAAACATTTTGATCTAGGAAAAAGAACTATGTCTTTTAAACTGGGCATCACAGAGAAAAGAACAAACAGGTGGTAAAAGCCAAGCTGTTGGAAGGCCTTCACTTTGTATAAAGCATCAGCAGCATTGTACCTTTGGGATGAATGAAACAATCCGTCCCTGTCCTGATGTGTCTGTGGTGCACTCGAGTGCAGTGGGTCAGGCTGTGAGCCCTGGGCAAGCAGGGAGCTGTGTGGGGATGCACTGGGGGAGAAATGGAGCCCCTGAGCTTGGGGCCTAAGGCTTGGTCCCTAACTCTGCACTCAGGGCACTGCTCAGGGCTGGGGCTCCTGAGGCTCCTGCTGGCATTGCCATGGACAGGTTTTCCCAAGGGGAAGCAGCAGCCTACAGAAGCTGAAGGAAGAAGATGTCCTATCCCAAGGGTGATGCTACAGAGTGGAATTGCAGTGAAATGCAGCCACAGCTGCCATGAAGCAAACTGTCCTAAAGCACTGCCACACCTCTGAAGGTTCCTTTCACCAGTTACCAGCAGTAGTTTTTGCACATCTCTCTGGGTTACAGTAAAACAACAAAACCAAATCCTTCCAAACCGGCACCCTAACACAAAAAAACCCCAAACAAAACCAAAAAACCAAACAGCTTTGGTCTGAACACAGCACCAGATGTCATTAACCTATCTTACTGCAGGGTTTTAGAGACAAGCTCTCAAGCATTTACAGAAGCATCTGTTAATGATAATGCACTGCTTATCGACACTGGCACGTTTCTCACTGGTTCACTTCAATGGAAGGTGAATAGCATCATCATCCAAATGGCTCCCTGAATACTACTGGGGTTTGCAAAGCGCCTCCCATCACCTTCCTTTTGTGATTTTACAGATTTGGTTAGGTCACAGAATCAAAAGTAAAATTTATGACAGCAGTAACCTTTGCTACATGCACACCTTGATTTCACTTTAGCGAAACGCAGACAAATCACCAAGCACAGAGAGTTCATCTCACCTACAGACAGACCACTGATCTTTTATGCAGAACACAGAAATAATCCACGTTTTGTCCTCTGTGGCAGTGCTTGTAGAGGTGCAGGGCAGCCACAGTCTTCTCATCCCCCTTTTAACGCTGATTTCTGCTCACATCCAACACGTACAAAGACAGACTACACTCAACACATGGCTGACAAGGAATGACACTTGACAAACAGGTTCTACTGCGATCCAAGTGGTTTGTTAGCAATCCAGGCTGAAAGGCAGATTTTCTCAGGCTCTCCCTGCAGACACCTCCCCACGGTGATGCTCAGGGCACAGCAGGGGCTGTCCCGGCAGGAGGCTCAGGGCACGTCGCTCTCGATGAAGGGGATGTCGCTGTACTTGCTCTCGGTCACCGCCCACTGTTTGACCGCCTGCTCCAGGATCTCCCGGGAGAGCCGGTGCGCGTAGTCCAGCACGGCGGCGCTCGAGGGCCCCTTCTCCTCCGCCTGCACCGCCAGCAGCGACGACTTCTCCCCAGCACAGCCCTCGCCGCCTGCCCCGATGCGCTCATCCTGCACAGCGTTGGAACCTTGGAAGGCAGCCTTGGATTTGATGCATCCCATGGTACATTGGAAAATGCAGCTGCAAAAGTCAGTTCAGCAGCATGTTTGGATAACCTGGAAGCGGTTCCCTTGTTCGGTAGAGCGTCGCTGCTTCTTGCCAGTGGCTCCAGTTATTTTCAAAGAAGAGGACATCTCCTTTTGTGCTTCTTCTGAGGAAATCTGTCAAAACAGTGTTTCACATAAAGGCAATAAACACGTTACCATTCTCAGTGAGCTCAAAGGAAATGTACATTCACTAGAGGCGCTCGGAGAAGCGGCTTAAGTAAATCTCTGCCCAGCGTGCGTAAAATGTTTTTATCGGTAACATCCATCTACTACAAGTAGGCAAAGTTTGACCTGAATTCACGCTGCCTTTGAATGCAATTCCCAGGATGGGATGTAGGCCATCTAGGAATGTAAAATACTATAAAAAGAATAAGTCTGTTTCTTCCAAGCTGACAATGCGTTATGCTTCTCCTGAAACTGCAAACAAATGCTGTTTAGCTCCGGGGACTGCTGCTGCTGCTGGAAATAAACACCAAAACCACCCCAGAGCAGCACCACACAACCACCATAGCCAGAGTCCAATGTCATGGCTGTCACACGCCCTCTGGGCACAATGACACTAATTCCCAGTGTCATTCTGCTGTTGCTGAAGGAGGCTGGAGCAGGGCAGCCACCAGAAGGTATTCACAAGGAACAAGAGCTGGTTTTGTTTTTTCCCTGGAGAGGGTAGGGAAAGCAGCAGCAGCCTGCTGTGATCAAGGCAGAGCACTTGAGAGCACAACAGAGCCAGAGCACCATTCTCACTAGAGCAGGACAGCTCTACAACCAGAGAAGGGAAAGTGACCAACAAAACACCTGGCAGGGTCCTTTTCGAGTCCTTTTCAAGTCCTCAAGATCCAGAGCTAGTCAACTCCAAATACGGGTTTTGGTTTACTGGCCTACAAAGCTGTTTCTGGGGCTACTTCCTCTCAGGCAAAGCAGAATCTCACGCTACGCCTGACTTTGCCTGGCATGTGCTTACCCACTTATCAGAGTTAACAGACTGCCAGCCAAAATAAAGACTGCACAGCACAGAAACCAACTGTTCCCTGCAGCTTCACCCAATGACGTTGTACTAAGGTCAGCCAAAGTTAAAGATTTTTTGTAAATAGCCTTTGAAAACACACAATCGTGGCAAAGATGTTAAGCCTTATTTATTTCCTTTATACGCTGGAGGAAATTGGGGCTCCAATCCAGTAGCCTGATCAAAGGCAAATATTTGCAGAGGAAATCAATCCCATTTGCAGGCAAATGGTGCTTCACAGGTAGGATGGGACTTCCCCAGTCTAGCAGCTGGCTCAGGAGAACCTTGAACTTGTCCCAGATTCCTGGGACAAGCTCCTGTCCTCTCTTTGCTGCTTCATAAAAACCACTGCTACCTGTTTGCAGGGCTGAAGTGCAGCACAGAAGGAGTGGCTGGCACTCCTGGCAGGAAGTCAGTCCTAAAGGGCTCCAGAAAGCACCAAGTCCACACAAACGGTGCCACACCTTTAGCTGTGTAGCAGGACATTTCAGCATCGTAGAGGAACATTTGTAGATCACCTCAGTGAAGTTCAGTGAGTCTCTTTGTGCACACTGACCTGTGCAGCACGTGCCCAGTGCTTTGGGACAGGCACTGTAGTCCACAGGCCTGTAACACAAACCCTGCTGCCAAGGGCTGACCTCTACCTGCAGTTTTACCCAACACAGAGGAGAGCTAAGCTATCAGATTTTTATTTCAATATCTCATCATTAAATGAGTAAAGACTGGATGGATAACTTGTTATTAGATGAGTAAACAGCAGGATTCCCTTATTACACAAAAAACTACATTTATCCCTATATCTATACCCATGTCTGTCCATAACATACACTGATCAAACTTACCATGCCTCCAGACCAGAGGCCTGAAAGCAATTCAGGCAGCTGAATAATTCAAAGCTTTAATAGTAATATCTTGTGAATGTCTAATTTCAATATTTACCATCAATAAAACATTAATACTAAGCACTTCCACTTGCTCTTCTGGACAAATATGTAGCTCCAAATACATGGTAAAGAATCACTGACAGCAGGTACCACCCAGCACTGCTGAAAGCTGCAGTCTTGATCCAGCCAAGGTAATGCACAGCTGCAGTGTATTTTTATCAGAGTTTAACCTTGACACTTTCCTTAAAATAGACTTCTCAGATTTGGATTTTTTCATCCAAGTCCGGAGCTATGGTTTTCCTTTTTTTTAAAAAGTTTTTTAATGGAGGTCTGTTAAATAGAAGCTATCTTTAGTTAGGACTTTATCATTGCTTTAATGTTTCCCATGTGCAGCTGGAGATTTCTGTTAGGGGACACCAGCAGATGAGTTAGTGTCTAATGGAAAGGACAGAATGGGAATAGAGGGAGGATAAACTTCTCCTTAAAGCAGGTAGGGAGAAATTCCCTAAGGTCAGCATCTTCCTCTGCAGAACTCACCACCTCTGCCTCTTCACCTGGGCCAAGTCAAATGTTCCTGGGACTGTCCTACACAGAGGGCAGGGTGGCCCAGCTTGCAGACAGCAAGGCAACTCACAATACAATTCAACTGTTCCAAATCAGTTGAGCTTCAAAGCCAAGTTATGGACCCAAGTTTAAATTCTTGCCTGTTGCTCATTTCATTCTTTACAGAGCTCAGTGCTTTCCAAGCCACTGCAGTGAGTGTTACAGTGCCTGGTCTACTGGAGTTAATAATTGTTGGCACAGAAATAATTGCAAATGGAGCTGCCCTCAACCTTTTGGCTGCTTCCTTGTTTTGCTGACAGCCCTTACCTGCACACACATGGTGAAATGCTGTTTAAATCCTCTCTGCCTAACTCATCTCCAGAGTGTTAAGTTCTGACAGATTTTAACATCCCTACCTTTCCTCTCAACGCTCATACCCTGAGAGGGAAAAAACCCAACAAATCAGAGTAGCTCATTTTACTCCCAGCACGATCCTGCATCCTGAAACTGCACAAGGCCAAACTGTGTGATAGGAGCCTGCTTCTGTCAGTGCCCAAGCTCTGCTCTGAGCCAGTTGTGCCTCAGACATCACTGCAGAGATGGTTTGGGGCTCAGGCCAAGAGCTCTGCAGTTCCTCACGTGACAAAGCTGCTGGGCTTAGCTGGAGCCAGGGGTCAGCGAGCTCTGCTTGCTCTGCTCACTCTCAACCAGAAACTAAAGCAGCACCATCAGAAACCAGAACTCATCTTCTCTTTTTAGAGACAGATTTTACAGTAGGTGAAATGCTGATTTATTCATCTGAAAAATATAGGCTACTAGTTGTGCTCCATTTTACTGGATGCACAGTCAAAACGTTTTTAAATGCTTCATTTAACTTCAGCACAACACTGTGCATGACTTTAATGGAAGTCTTGAAAACAATCAATTCTGTATTGGAATTGGAAGTTCCCAAGGACAAGTTCAGATGTTTTTTCACCTAATACTTTATTTACTGTGGTAATACTAGGAGAGAGAAAATTTTGAGGGGGTGGTAGCTGAACTCAGCAGGCACACTAGGGCTAAGCAGTCTCTTTGCCAGCCTGGCAAAGTGTTTCCTGCCAAGGTAAGTTCATTTCTACTGAAGGAAACAGAAAAATGGTGACAGGATGCCTGCAATTCACTATTAGAGAATATGAAATAGAGGAAAAAAGCATTAATCACATAACTGCCATTAAAAAAAACAAACAGGATTTTTAAAAGCATTAAAATTCTCAATAAAAATAACTGCAAAAAGGTAAATGTGCAATATCAAAAATTAATGGTTTCACTGGCCTCTGGAATACACCAGCATAAGATGAAAACAGGCAGAAGAGCAAGCATTTTGCTGTTATGCAACATCTGTAGCCATCATAAGCAGGTAAGTTCCTGCTGTCATCTACTTTTTTTTCCATTCATGAGAACCTCAGGAAAAAAACCTTGAAGTTCAATATTACACTATAAGAAACTGCTTTCTGCAACACTTTAAGTTACAGCAGTCACCAGATTAAAAATAAGCCAAAGTTTTCCAAGTAGCTTCAAAATGTGCAGCTTTGCCCAGCTGAAGGCAGCAAGTAATTCCTGCTGTGACAGAGGCAAACTTGTGAGTTCAAATATGATTCTTCCTCCAGCAGGGACTTTCAGTTTTCCCCTGGGTATCTGCAGGAGAAGCTCAGAGTGCCACTTACCAGAACCACGTCTGTTTCTAACAGGTTGTCCCCTCGTCCCCAGGAGAGCACAGACAACTTCACGTCTGGGAGTCTGCAAAGGGAACCCAGGAACAGAGCTTAGCACCCTCCAGGACGTCAGAGGTGCACAATATTCACCAGCAAGGTGATGAATCTGTAGTGCTGGCCTTGCACAAGGCTGCCTGCCTTTCTTCCCACTCAGAATTTGACTTTGACAAAGGTAAAAGGATGATACAGCATTAATAAATTAGATTGAATGACAGGCTGCAACAATTTACACACAGCACCTAATGCTGGGCTCAGAGTGGGGCCACTGCTTGGGCAAGTGGCTCCTGACCATCTTTAGGATGCCAGCCTCTCCCACAGCAAGTCCAGGTCAGGAGGATTTCAGCAAGGATATGGGAAGGGTATTGTCCCATCTGTTGCCCAACCTCAAAAGTTCTCTCCCATTTTCCCTTCTCCCTCTCAAAGCTTCTATTGAGACCTGGACCATCCAAGGACACAGGGAGAACAGTCAGACAATCCCAGTGCTGCCATTATCATGGAAACAATAAACTCTGGAACAAAGCTATTCAAAGCTGGAGTTTGGGCAGGTGACCTACCAGCACAGGTAACCAAACAGCACTCGGGCATCTGCACCTCTGAACTGCACCCAATCACTTAAAATATTCACACCCTCCATGTAATAACAGAGAGGGAACCCAGAGCACCCCTCTCCCTACCAAGGTGGGCTGTAACTCAGGAGCACTCGTGGCACTGCCTTTGGATCCTCTGCAGCTGTGAGCAGAGCAGCAGCACATAACTGGCAGAGGCATGAATCATTCACTCAGTGCACAGCATCCCCTCCATCCCTGCAGGACTCTGAGCTCCCTGTGCAAAGCAGCCCCAGGCAGAGGCTCCCAGAGCAGTCCAACCCACCAGGCCTTCAGTTCTGCTCTCCTGAACATCCAGCTTCCTGCAAATCCTACAGAGGAGATGCACTGCGTAACATTTATTAGAACAACTCATCCTAGGAAAAGGAAGTTTTAAACAGCTACAGTTACTTTTAGACAAGCACAATACTAAAGATTCTGCTGCCTCAGGCAATCACTGATACCCAAATATCCCAGAACAGCTCAGGACATGAAAAGCAAAAATTGAGCTCTCATTGCTCTCAGAGCCATCCCCTCCCTCTCCTGTCGCTTAGTGCCAACAAGAGATAAGAGCTACAGATTGAAAGGCTGCATGCAGCAACTGCAAACAACTGCTGTGCAGGATTAGCATGGAAGGGAAAGTCTCCTGGTTATCTGTCTCAAGGAATGTCCTGGAATTTCAAAGGCTCGGGTTTTTCCCCCTCCATGGCGAGAATTGATAAAGCTTTTCCAGGCTTCTAAGCCAGTTTCTAACTGAATGGGGGAATTATAAATTTGCTTTTCCAAATCAGGCAGACCTCTAGTTTACTTTAATAGGTTTTTCAATAAGAGCACAGCTGATCACAGAATCATAAATTTGCTTTGGTTAGAAAAGGCCTTTCAGATCAAGTCCTACCATTATCCCAGCACTGCCACGTCCACAGCTAAAACCTGTCCCTAAGGGCCACATCTGCACATCCTGGGCACCCTTTCAGTGAAGAATCTTTTCTAACACCCAGCCTAAACCTCTCCTGGCACAACCTGAGGTAATTTTGTCTGGATCTATTGCTTGTTACCTGAGAGAAGAGACTGAGCCCCACCTGCCTACAACCTCCTTTGTCAGAGTACTGAGTTATTTAATGGAGGCAATTTCCATGTCAAATTTCATCTCTCAAGCACTTTAGCAATGCAGTTAAGGAACACTGAAAATCTTCAAACTAGAGGGAAAAACAAGACAGAAGAAAATGTTTCTTCTTACTTCACTTTATGATTTACATGCACAGAGCAAGTGGGGTGTTTTTGCTGCTAAATAGTACAGCTGTGTCAATGTGAGTTTTTATACTGACAAACTCTGGAACTCTAAAACTAGCACTGACTTAAAACAAAAGTTAAAGAAGGCAAAAACCCCCATAAAATCAAGAAACAGTCTGGCCCCTCTGCAAGACACACACCCACAGAAGCCAGGAACAAAAACAAGTGCTTTCTGCACCGTTCTAGCAATCTTACCCAAGCTTTGGGAGCAGCAAACCAAGGTGAAATACCAAAAGAAACCTTTGGGTGAAAATACCAGTAGTTCAGAGAACAGCAATGCCAGTAGGTACAGCCCTCAGCAGCCACAGTGTTATTCTTCATCCAGGAAGAAGTCTTGTTAAAAGCAAGGAACATTGTGTGCTTGGTAGCTGTCTAATTTCATGAAAGTAAAACTGTACCCAGTTGGCCTGTCCTGAAATCCTCCCTCCAGTGCAGCAGTTTATTCACCAGAGCTGCACACACAGTGTGAGTGCCCCTGTTCAACAACCCAGCTCAGGGGGCAGCCCAAAGGCCATTGGAGAACAGGATGCTAAAAACCTCTTACAGGTTCTGTTCATATTTTATCTCAGTTACTTGTCCAAACAGCTGTATAGACTGCTGTTAGTGCAAATTTAGACAGAGATGTTTACAATGTATTGATGTTTTTTTCTCCAGTGTCTCAGAATACATGCAGGCACCAGTACAGACTCTGCCAGACCACAGACAATAGGAAACATTAATTTAACTACCACAGGAACAGGAGAAGGATGCCTACCATTGATGGAAGCCTGTTTTCTAGGTGGGTAACAGTGAACCAATGGATTTCCTTAGCAATTACCTTGGAGTGAGGCTGGAGAAGAAAGGGCATGAAGAAGATTCAGGGTTTCTCAGCAACTCCATCTGCAGAAAGTTTAGCCAAGACTTAAGGAACCCAACTACAGAAACTATAAGGAATGCCTTTGGAAGGGAAAGCTAATAGTGATAGAGGAGATCCAAAATTCTCCAAGACCCCAAATACAAAATAATGCTCAAAACCGGTGAGTGAACAGAAATAAAATACCAGAAATGGATATAAAGATTTTGATCTATATGTACAGCTGTTTCCTTGCCCTGCATCACACCAAAGGATGCAGGTCCAACACTTCTTTCAGCAAAGCCCACAGGTCTTGTAATTATCAGCCCCTCCCATCTGTACTAGCTGCAAATCCATGGTCTGAACACCATCCCCACAGCAAGGGAAAACACAAGGCACACCAGCAAAGGTGTCAGAGACACTGGCCAAGTCCCACACTGAGGTTAGACTGCTCTAAGGCACAGCCCTGGGCCCAGACAGAGCAGCCTCTTGGTTTATTGCAATGCTCCAACACTGTAACCAACTAGAGTGGAAACAGGAATTTTCCTACATATACCACAAAACTTCATCCCAACAAGTCAATTATGGAGTCACAGCCTTCCTACTAACAGTCCTCTTCAGGAAGACATTGAGACATTAAGCTGCTAACTCTCAGACTAAGGCTCAGGATCCAGCCTGGTTTGTAAAGGTGCATTACTGTCCTCCACAGGTGCCTGGCAGAGACAGAGCTGCAGACAATGAAAAGGGATGCACAAATCTTTACGAGCAAGAAAAGCCCCTCCTGCAGCTCTTGCTGGCTGCTGCCCAGCCTGGGGATCCTGCCAGCAGGAGCTGAGGAGCAGCAGCAGCAGCAGCTAGAGCAGCGGATCGGTGCCTCAGGCTGACAGGGTCGGCCTTTATTGTAGTGGCTGTCACAAGATTCAACCATGAACATATGGAGCTGCAGAGCATAAGGTATGAATGAGGGACACTGCCTGCCTTTGTGACACCCTCAGGAAGCTGAAGGCTCCGCTGGAGTAACACAAATGAAAGTCAGAAGGAAGGCGATGGTCAAGATCTGCCCAAGATGAACCACAGAAGAGCACAATAAAGGCAGCGCACGACCCTATTCTGTTCTTTAATCTCCAGAAGCCAATTATAAAAAGGGAAATGGGAATTAGGAATGCACCAGGAAAGCCATCTTTCCACATCTCACATAGGAAGGCACAGGAAAACACAGCCCCACATTTTAAATCACAACTCTGTTACTACTGATTTGCACAAACTGAGGAGTAAGAGGACAAAGTGAGGAGCAAACAACCAGATGCTCCAGCTGTACAAAAGCCGCCCCGAATTGCAACAAAGAACTTTGTCAGCCTTAAAAATCACTCTGTCTCACGGCTCTCCCCCGGTATTTGTTTCCTTGAATTCCACCACTCCTGACGTGCCAGCTCCTGCTTCCAGCAGCTGCCGCCTTCGCGCCTGGGAAGCGGGAAGGGCCGGGAGCCAGGCGAGGCAGCCGTGCCCGCACAGCCTGGCACCGCTGCCAGCCCTGTCCCCCAGGACCCTGCCCACGGAAACACCTTGTCCCCAGGGACAGGAGCGTCCTGGGGCTCTGCCCAACCCCTTGGGCAACTTGTACCAAGCAAGGTGATTTTAAAGCAAGAACGTTCTCAGCAGAACGTGATGTTCAGAAGAAAAACTAATTTGTATGTACTTGAAGGTTAAAAATGCCACTTTGTTAGGGTACAGGATAAATCCCCGCATTTTTTCCTTTTTTAAAATGACTATATTTAGAAACCTAATTTGGATTGCTACTTACTGAACTATGAGAAAGCATAAAATATTTCTAAATGTTTAAGAATTTTTGCCATGATGGGTCTGGCATTATTAAATCTGTATTTTATAACATGCCAGATGAAGGTAACCTGCTCTGTATAAGAGTCAGTGTGGAAGCCTGGAAAGGTGCTCATGGCAAAGCAGGGGCTGACAGACCCTCACATCACCTCGGCCGGCAAACACAGCAGCCTCACGTCTTCCCCACAGCAAGAACAGCGCTAGGAAAGAACCAGCCACGCCGTTCACCTTCCCACTCCGCATCACTCCCACCGCTGTCCGTAGCACCACCTTTCCTCAAGAGTGCTCAGGGGGAGCGGCACCTCCGCTTTGCCCAGTTCGGAGGAGTCCGCGGCCGGCCCCTCGCTGCGAGAGGATGGCAGGAGTAAGGCGGCAGCACCGCCGGCTGTCCTGACAGACCCCAGCTCAGAGCCCGGCTCCGTCTCCCCGCTCTCCGGCACCACACCAGCCCGAGGCGGCCGAAGGCCAGCGCTGCCCACGGCCCCGCGGGTGCGGCCGCGCATCCCCGCTCCCTCCCGGCCCCGGCGCGGCTCGGGGCGATGGAGCCGGGCACATACCGGCGCGGCGGGGCGGTGTCCGTGCGAGCAGCGTGCTGGAAGCGTGGCCCCGCCGCGCACGGTCCCCGGCCGCCGGGCTGCCCCTTCCTCCGGCGGTGCCCGCGGGATCCGGCCCTCGTCCCACCGACGCCGCCGCCTCCTGCAGGCTCCTGAACGGCAAAGACGCAAACCCACCGTCAAAGTCCATGCTGGGAGCGCCTCCCGGCCCCGCCCGGCCCCGCGGCGCTCGCACAGGTAGCGCCGGGAGGGCCCCGCGCCCGCCGCCGCTCCCGCCGCTCCGCCGGGCGCTCCCCGCCCTCCCCGGGGCGGCGGCGGCGGGGCCGGGCGGGGCCGGGGGCGGGAGCGCCGCCGAGCCCGGGAGCGGCGGTGCCGCGGCCCCGACCTGTCCCCCGCCGGCACCTGAGCCCGGCCCGCAGCCCCCGAGCGCCCCTGGCCTCGGCGCTCCCGCCCCGCCCGGGCACAGCCGCGCCTCAGCGCCGGCACCGGCCCTGCCATTTAAAATAAGGGAAAAGGGGAAAAATCACCCAGGCAGGAAAGGCGCCTCTCATTGGCTTCTCCTCCTTTAAATCCTCCTCCCTCTCTACTCGGCCCTAGTGAGGCACATCTGGAGTGCTGTGTCCAGGTCTGGGCTCCTCGGTACAAAAACACCAGAAGCTGCTGGAGAGGGTCCAGCAGAGGGCACAAAGATGATGAGGGATCTGGAGCACTCTCTTACAAGGAGAGACTGCGGGAGCTGGACCAGTTTAGTCCAGAGAAGAAGAAATGGAGAGGGGATCTCATTAATGCATATAAATATCTCAAAGGCAGCTGCCAAGAGAATGGTGCCAGACTCTTTTCAGTGATGCCCAGCTACAGGACGAGAAGCAGTGGCTACAAAGTAAAACACAACAAGTGCCACCTCAACATGAGGAAGAACTTTACACTGAGGGTGCCAGAGCACTGGAACAGTTTCCCAGTGAGGTTGCAGTCTGCTTCTCCAGAGACATTCCAAACCCACCTGGGTGCATTCCTGTGCTCCTGCTCCCCTGCCTTGGCAGGAGGCTGGATGCTCTCCAGAGGCCCCTTCCAACAACCCTAACAGTTCAGTGATTCTGTGAAATATGGAAAAGGTGTTCAAAGAATGGAGTTGCCATATAAAAGCTTAGGGCCATCAGCATTGTGTGTTCCCCTCAGCCCTGGGACAGCACTGAGGTGCCAGAACACATTGAGCACACAAGGACCGGTGAGCTTTAAAGCAAAAGAAAACAGTGGAAGAGACTGGGGGAGAGGCCTGGGTGATGCTTCTCTGATTTTATCCTGTCAGGCAGCATCAAATCATGTACAACCACAGAGAAGTATTAATTATACCAAAGCTTTTTAGGAAACACCCCCATTCCAAAGGAAAGCTTCCAGAATGAAAGCTGAGCAAACTAAAATAGCATTTTCAATTTTTCAAAAATAAAAGCTATGCTAAAAATGAAAACTATTTCATAAGAGAGGCTGCAAACACACCCTGGGTAAAGCATTCCTGCTTTTGGGGAGTTCTTGACACCCAAACTACTGCACAATACACACAAGCATGCCTGGGCATCCCCTCTGGGAGGCTTTCATGGAGCTCACACCTGGCTGGGGCTGGCAAACAGCACCCCAGGACTCACAGGAGTCTCCTGGCCCTGATGGGACAGGCCTGGAGACACAAGGCTCATGCTGGCCCTGGCTTGTGCTACAGCAACAGGCTAAAAGCCAGAGGTGCTGCAGGGCTGGGCACTGTGCTCGTGCCCCTCACTGCACTCAGCACTCACTTCCAGTGTCTGTGCTGAGCTCTGGCTAAGTCTCCCATCTATTTAGGCAGGTTTTATAGAATCAGAGAATCATTAGGATTGGAAAGGATCTCCAAGGTCATCAAGTCCAACTGATAACCTGGCACTGCCATGTCCACCACATCCCAAAACCATGTCCCTTAGTGCCACACCTATGCAGCTTTTCAATAATTCCAGGGATGGTGACTCCACCACTGCCCTGGGCAGATTGTTACAATGCTTGGCCATCCCTTTGATGAAGGAAATTTTTCTAATATCCAACCTAAACCTCTCCTGGCACAACCTGAGGCCATTTCCTGTGGATCTGTTGCTGTTACTTGGGAGAAGAGACAAAGCCATCTCCCTACATCCTCAGGTGGTTTAGGGAGCAATAAGATCTCTCCTGAGCTTGCTTCTCTCCAGACTGGACCCCCCCAGCTCCCTCAGCCCCTCCTCACATGACTGACTCTCAGCCCCTTCACCCAGCTCTGCTGCCTGCTCCTGGGCACACTGCAGCACCTCAATGATTATTGCCAAGCAGGTCTCCAGTTGTCAAGTAAGTTTCTAACACATTTCCAGTCAGTCATTGCCTTGCCAAGGAATTTCTTGCAGTGCTTTCAAAGCCAAAGAAAACACTGCACTGGTAGCATTCATCAAGAGAAGCACCACTGTAACTGTAGCTGCTGGTCACAGATTACCCATTGCATGCTGGAGGGGCTGCAAAGGGCCAGCAGAGCCAGGGGATGGACAGGTACACAAAAATAAGAACAGCATCCCTCTGCTCCTCCAGTGGCTGGGAAACCCTCCCTAACCTGGAAAGCTGGGGGACAGGGAGCAGGCAGCCACCCCTGCATACACCACCAACAAAATCCAGCAGCTCCTTGTACAAAAGCACTGCTGCTACAGCTGTTGTGACCACCCAACAACAGCACACAATATTACACTCATTACTTGCAAACAGTCCACCTGTGAATTAAAAACCCCTCATCTTTTACTAATTACTGCCTTGGGGCCTGGAGAAAGCGTTGTGCTGCCAAGCGCTGGGTGCAGGGTTTGTACACACTGTGTGTGCTGTGTCATTTCATCCAGCTCTAATGGGAGCCATGCTCCCTCAGAGACCAAAGGCAGAGTTTCTGGGGCTGGGGTGCAACAGGAGACCAAAGCTCAACCTCAGGTCCTCACAGGTGTGATTTTTAAGTGACAAGTTCCCCAGGCAGGATTAAGCCCCTTGGGCACTCAGCAGGTGCTGCAAGGGTTTACAGGGGCAGGTCTGAGGAGCTCGACCCAAAACCTGTTAAAGCTGGTGACACTTTGCCCTCTGGTTTCAAGGAGCTTTGACTCGGGACTTGCTGACCTGGGCAGATCTTGTGCAAATGTTTTATTACTGTTTTAGCTCATCTGTAGGTGGCCAGAGGAGAAAATCAAACTCCTGGCCCTGAAAATTAAAACAAGATGAAGTTCTGGAAAGGTATGGTCACCTTGCATTAACACAGTGGTATTGCTACAACAATGACTTTTAAACTACATCCTGTTTTTAAACAAGAATTTTGTAACTAAATTATAAATATCTTTGTATAGGCTTATGCCTACTGTGCTCTTTATTATTCTAGCCTGGTTTCTAATGCAAGTTTCTACTTTTATCTTCAGCTTTTAAATGAATGCAGCTCCCACTGAGCATCTTGGTGCCGTGGGGCAGGCATTCCACAGGCTGCAGGCACAGCTGGTGCCTGGCTGGATCACTTCACTGCATCCCAATAGATAACAGTCTGGTCTAGTGCACTGCTCATCTCCTGTGCCACCACCCAACAACAAGCCTTGGCCTGAGCAGCAGCACCTCAGTGTGATGTGGCAGGGACAGGGAGCTAGGGAGAGGGTGATACATTGACAAGAACCTCAAGCCTGTATTTATTTCTGGGTGCTAAAACAGATTTAATATTTCATTAGCTGTGGAGCTGGCAAGACAGCTGATTATGTTGGGCTGAGGCAAAGCAGTCAGTGTTTTTAAATGCCGAGCATCCGTTTGAAATGACTACAGCCAGGCACAGGCTAGGCAGTCAATGAAATATTTAGCTGGTAAAGCATTTCAGTGTGCAAGGCTGGGGCCAGACATGTGTGCTGTGATGTTAAAAACCACAATACCCAAATCTGAGGTGCCCCAGCCCTCAACATGGAGGCCTCAGAGGTGCAGCAGTTGCCCAGAAGCTATGGGGGTTCACGGTCCCCACCCTGTGCCAGGGTGCAGGAACCCTTGCTGGGCATGGACTAGTTTGGGAGGGCACAGGCATCAAAGCCTTTCCTGCAACTCAACTTGCCAGATAATGCTGCCTCTTGTACCCTTCTCCCAGATTTCAGTGAAAGCATTTTCCTGTAGGAGTAAGGAAGGCACTCTCCCCTCCAGAAGAAATAGTTTTAAAGCAAGTTTGACTTTTTGTTGTCATAAGACCTGGTATTTATTTTATTAGCTATTTTTACCCATTATTTGCTTATTGGAGTTTGCTAGTTCTTCTTACAATATAGGCCAAACCCTCTAAATTCTTGGCAGGTCCTGCTCTGTGTGCACATGTTCACCCCAGAGTGATGTGGATGCAGCATCAATCCAGCTGCAATGAGGGAAACTGGTGCAAACTGAACCACAGAAGTCAGGGAATGGTGTTAGCATTGGAACTGCTGGAATGATATCCAGACTGAAGGATTCAGCAGTGCTGAAGCTTCAGAGGAATCTGGTTAAGGAACTGCTAACCTACCTCTTTTGGGTTAAAATTTGTCACTTAACAACCTCTGCACCAGATGGCAAAGTTTTAATGAGTTTGTCCAAGGGTAACAGAATAAATGAAATCTGGTTTCTCCCTCCCTCTGACACAATTTTATAGTTCCTGCCCTTGCTACCCTTCACAGTTCCTCCACATCTGCGAACCCCTTTCCAAGCCTTCAATTCCTCTTCTCTGTCTCACACACCCACAATATCCTACACTGACTTCTGGAATACTCACATGCACTTCTGCCTCAGCATATCACCTGTAAATAGTGCCCAATTTCCAGTAACCCCAGCTTTCTTCCACATCTTCTGACCTGAGCTGTGTGGTTGGCAGCAGTAGCACCTGCTCAGGTTTTGCCAAGGTGCTGTTCAGATGCTCAGTCCATCAGTCCTTCTCACCATGATGCTGGGTCAGATTCTCCCTGCCTTTCCAACAGAAAGCAGAGAAAATACAACCATTTTTCCCAAGCAGTGCTTAAGTTCAATTAAGAACCCACTGATGTGGCATTCAAAAAAGGACTACAAAACTCCATGAATTCTGGTACTAGGGAGGGCTTCACTGAGGCACACATTTCTAATTCAGATGAGGAGGTAAAGGAAGCCATGACAAGCACTCTCTGCCCCAGGAGCTCCCCCCAGCATGCCCACAGCCACGTGGTGACTTTACCAAATCTATTTTTACGTGCAGTAATCCACTAA